ATATATACGTATATATACATGTATAATAATTTATACATATTTATAATGTACTTAATTTTTAAATTATATAGCTAGGATTTTGGGAGCCTCTACAAATGTTTCAATAACACAGGGTGGTCAGAAAAGAATAAGATACAGTCATCAAGCATATACCTATGTTTGTTTTAGTTTGTTTTTTAAAGATTTTATTTGAGAGAGAGCACGAGTCAGGGAAGGGCAGAGGGACAGGGACCAGGAGACTCCCTGCTGAGAGGTACACTGCTGACATGGATCTGGATCCCAGGATCCCAGGACTCTGAGATCATGACCTGAGCTGAAGGCAGCCACTTACCTGGCTGAGCCACCCTGGTGCCTCTTTACCTGTGTTTTGTTTTATATCTAACAACAGTGAATTTTATAAGAATTAAAATTCTGGGTTGGGTGGTTAAAATACTATACTTTTCTTTATTTTGTTTGTAAAGATTTTATTTATTTGACAGAGACACAGCAAGAGAGGGAACACAAGCAGGGGGAGTGGGAGAGGGAGAAGCAGGCTTCCTGCTGAGCAGGGAGCCCGATGCAGGGCTCAAACCCAGGAACCTGGGATCGTGACCTGAGCCGGAAGGGAGATGCTTAAAGACTGAGCCACCCAGGCACCTCAAAATACTATATTTTTCTATTAGGAATTTCACAGTCTAGAATTAAAGCTTGTCTTTTAAAATCCCTGACCAATTCTAGGTTAATTAGGTTACATTTTCTGTATCTATTCAAAATTTAAATGTAAAGTCAGTGTAAAATATGTATTTGTAAGAATGTATTTCTTCTCTTAGGCTTTAATAATCAGAAATGATGGCAGCATTAAACTTGTAGTTATGATTTAAAGTGGGACAATTGCCATAGATTCATAGTAACTCCAGAGTTACTCCATATTTAGACTGAATATTTAATAAATGGAGGCCTATAAAATGTTCAGGATCATTGGGTATATTGAACAACATTAGAAAATTGCATCTCGGTTCTGCACTAGGTTGTATGGTTGGTACGTAGTGATATAAGTGAAGTGCCCTCTAAGAACTTGGAGGGGGCAGTTATTTTTCTGATAATTAGTTAAAGCCATTCTTTTGCTAGTAAAAATTACATGAAGAATTGAGAAATTCTGAAATCACTCATCATTCTGCTTTAGGTGTAATCTCAGGGAGGCAGTTCTGAAATGTAATTAGAATTTAGTAGAAATATCATTAATTTTAGTGTATCCTCTTTTGAACAAAGTCTATGAACAGGAGGATGGTCAGCTCAGAAGAAAGCAAAGAGAAACCCAAAGCATGCGGAACAGGGCAGCAGTAGCTGCCCTGTTGAGAGAGAGATTGGTGATTTGTTTCTTGAGGCAGGCATATCCTTATTGTTAGAGATGGATGCAGATTAGTTTAGTCTGATGTCATTAAATATTTGAATCATATAATTATCTCCTCATGTTCTGTCCCTTGTTTACCCTACCACCTTCTTTACCTAAGAGAGAAAATGTACTCATCTGATAGGAGCATTCTAGTATGCTAGACATTTACACTTCTCATTATGAAGAAGTTGATTGACAAAATAATAAACAAATTGGAAAAAATTAACATGTTTGCATACATGTATGTGTTTGTTTCTGTGAGCTTCATTAAAGTTAGTTGGTCTTGTGAGAAAGATATGCTCATAGTCTGATCCGATGATGTGTCTTTGTAGCTAATCCCGTTAGCATGGTAGTCTTTTGTATTGCTCTGAGCCTTGACATTTGAAAATTACAACTTAGGCCCTTTAACTTGTGTGGCCTCATCTGTGAAATGATCTTCAGGATTCCTCCTAGTTCTAAATCTTTATGAATTCATAACCTATGTGCTTAGTTGTATCACTGTACACTTATAGGTAAAAGTTAGAAGAGATTGTAGAGAGTTGAAATATCTTTGTTTCATGTTTAGGTTGATAGTACCAATATGACTTAAAGTTGCACTTTTTAACCAGCCTTACTTTGTTTGGCTCCAAAGTACAAGGTTTAACATTTTACACATTGCTGCTAGACTATAAGCTTCTTAAGGACTAGGCCAGTGTCTCCTAAGTATAGAACAGTGCCTATCACAGAGAAAAAGCAGTAAGTGCTTATTGAATGAGTGTATACTTAGAGCAAGGTATTTAGAACCTAGCTAAACATGGTTTGGTTATTTGTGACTTTTTAAAATATTCTTTATTATGGCAAATTTTAAAAATGTGTAAGAATAGACAGAATAATATTGTCTCAGTCCATTTTGGTTGCTGGAACAGAATACCATAGACCGGGTGGCTTATAAATAGCAGAAATTTATTCCTCACAGCTTTGGAAGCTGGAAATCTAAGATCAGTGTTAGCATGGTCAGGTTCTGATGAGGTCTCTCTCTCTCTGGTTGCAGACTGCTGTCTTCTCATTGCATCTTTACGAGGTGGAAGGGTTGAGCTAGCTTTCTGGGGCTTCTTGAAGGACACTAATCCCACCAAGGCAGAGCCCTCATGATCTAATCACCTCCGAAAGGTTCCACATCCTAATAACATCAATTTGGAGATTAGGATTTCAACAGTTTAATTTTGGGAGGACACAAATGTTCAAACCATAGCAAATATAAATGTACTTTTATTTACCCATTACCCCACTTCAATAGTCATGATTATTCTTATTTCCTCTTTACCTCCTTCCAGTCCCCTCTTGTATTATTATGAAGCAAATCATAGACTTTGTATCATTTAATCTGTGTTATTCCATTGTGTATCTCTCAAAGATAATGACTTAAAAAAATTATAGCTATAACCTTTATTACACCTTAAAAAATGACTGATTTTGAAAAACATTAAACTAATTTCACTTCAAAATACCTGTACTAAATATTTCCATGAAATCTCTAATGTGTAGTTTCCAGACAGTTAATAACACTTAAAAATACAACAGTAGGACTAATTTTTGTTTTTGTTCTGTTTAATATTTAGGCTATCAACATGACGGCTGAAGAAACAGTGAATGTAAAAGAGGTTGAAATCATTAAGCTAATATTAGACTTCTTGAATTCAAAGAAGCTTCACATTAGTATGTTGGCCCTTGAAAAGGAAAGTGGAGTCATAAATGGCCTGTTTTCAGATGATATGCTTTTTCTGAGGTATGATTTCATTAGTAATATGAAGTTTGTAGCTCTTTCAAAGAAGTGTTAGGTATTAATAAGGTAATATGTGCATTATAAGGATATATTTATAATCATGAGAAGGCTATATAAGTATAATTTTTTAATTCATTTTTTTTAAAGATTTTATTTACTTGAGAGATAACGACAGAGATAGCAAGAGAACACAATGGGGAGGAGAGGGAGAAGCAGGCTCCCGGTTGAGCAGGGAGCCCGATGTGGGACTTGATCCTAGGACCCAGGGATCACGACCTGGGTCCTAGGATTACGAGCCAAAGGCAGACACCCAATCAGCTGAGCCACCCAGGTGCCCCTATAAGTATAATTTTCAAAAATAGTGCTTGTTTTTATAATGGAACATTTACAAAATAATGTTCTCTATAGAATGTTTTCAGTAGTAAGATCCAGAGGTCCATTAAAAAAAAACAAACCAGAGTCACAACTCCATTGTGGTTGTGGTGTCATCACAAAAAATACTTGAGTAAGAAATCGGGGACTCCGGAAAGATAAAATATTTCTGCAGTACCATTTTTTTTGCCATAGAAATGAATATAAACCTATTCATTACAGAAAATATACAAAAATAAGGAAGAAAAATCACCTACCACCCAGACACACTTCATACTAATAATTTTCTGTACATATTTTAAAAAACCTCAGCAATTCTATTGAATTTATAATTTAGAGTCTTTTTTATTCATTAACGTCATAAGAATTTTCTGTGTTATTACAAATTTATACTATAAAATTTTCAGTTTAATTAATTTCCTTATGGGTCCCCTATTTTTAGACAAATTATTTTCAGTTTATCTTAAATAAATGCTCTGTTGAGCATCTTTTATACAAATGGCTTTTTCTATATCTTGGATTATTTCCTTAGAACAAGATTCTTGGAATTGCAGAGCAAAAGGGAATTAACATATTTGCCAAAATGGGAAGCTAAATATATCCTAACTTGAATTAGATGGAAAAAGAAAAACCCAAATTTCCAGACAGAAATGTGCTCTCTGCTTATGTGATACTGAATATCCTTGACAAAGAGTACAGATTCTTGGACATGTGGCATTTTGTGACTTGGAAAGCCTTAAAAGATGAAGCATTCCCAAGTCATGAAAAAGGAACTTTAAAAAAAAAAAGCTTTAATAAGAGAATTTATTTAAACTCCTTGAACTTCCCTGTATTTAGTGTTACGAATGTCATTTGGCCCTGGGGAGCTTAGTCAATGATAATCGTCAGGAACCAGTACTGAGGCCATATTCTTTTGGCCCTCTTTCAAGCATTGCTACTCCTGGAATTTAGCAGTGGCTCTCAAATATCCCCCCTCGAACCTGTTGGGTTTCTGATGAAGTTTTACTGGTCTGAAATGCAAAGAATTGTAGAAGAGTAAGTTTTTAAACTAAATGTATTCATCTTAAAGGACTGACCTTTGAAATTTGTCCTTCCTACTTTTTAAATATTAAAATACCTCTTTATAAAATGATTATGATTCCTTTTTATTAATATTCCTTATTTGCAGACTCAAAAGTTGGCAATCCAATATAGATCTTCCTGTCCATCCCTTTTAAAATTTTACTGTTCTAAAAGCCAAAAGTAGGGAAATTGATATTATAAAAGAGCAGCAATAAGAATGCCTTAAAACTTTTGGAAGTTCTCATAGACCACTAAAGTAGGATGAAATCTGTCCTCATTCCTTGCTGTTTTTATTTTCAGAGTGTAAATTTTAGTGTCAAATGCCTCAGAGATGTAGAAATCACAGTTTAGAGCAGGATTTCTCAACCTCAGCACTAGTAACATTTTGGGCCAGATAATTCTTTGTCCTGTGGGGTGTGCAGGTTGTCCTGTGCATTATAGGATGTTTAGCAGCATCTCTCACCTATACTCAGTTGATGCCAGTAGCACCTCCCAATTGTGACAACCCAAAATGTCTCCAAACATTATTAGATGTCTTGGGGGCAGAATTGCCCCAATTAAGAACCACTGATTTAGTGAGTCTGGAACATACCCACACACTGGCCCCTAAATAATACAGAAGAGCTTTAAAACTGTAAGATGAATAGGAAAATAAAGGAACTTTTAGATTTAGCCCAATGTTTTTATATAGGTGAAAAAAACATATATTAGAATGAGAAGTGGTTGCAGATCACAAATTCTTCTCATATAGAATATGTTGTTACAAGTAAGTTGTGAAAAATTTAATTATAGTGGTTGAGAAACCAAGTAAAATGTTAACCTCATCACAGACTTCAGACTAAAGTTTTAATGCTGTCATATTTATTCTGCTTTTAATTAGTGTAACCCAAATTTGATAACATGCATGGGTTTTTTTCTTTATGTAGGCAGCTAATCCTTGATGGTCAATGGGATGAAGTTCTTCAGTTCATTCAGCCTCTAGAATGTATGGAAAAATTTGACAAGAAAAGGTAAGATTTCTGAAGTTTTTTAATGTCTTGTCATTGGTATGAGTTTAGCAAAACAATAAACACAAATTTAAAAACAAGACTGTTAATTTTCCTAGAAAATAGCATACTCAATCCAATTGAGTCGGAGCACTTCTAGAGGACAAGTTGAATGTACTTTGATTGGTTGAAAATCTTATATATAAACCTACCTTTTTTGACAGTGTCTATACAAAAAGCCACAAGGACCATATCTGCAACAGTTGTTTCTTCATAATAGTATGAAGATTTTTTTTTAATAGTATGAAGATTTAAAGATGTCATTCCATTTTCTCCTGGCCTCCATTATTTCTGATGAACACTTAGCTGTATTTGTATCCTGATTCTCTTTATGTTTCTTTTTTCTTTTTTTTTTGGCTGCCTTCAAGATTTTTCTTGTTTTTTACTGAGATGTATTTAACATATAAATAACATTATATTAGTTTCAGGTATACAATACAGTGATTGGTTATTTGTATATATTGTGAGATGATCATCACAGTAAGTCTAGTTAACATGTAAATATATTTACAAAAACTTTTATTTCTTGTGAGGAAGATTTTTAATGTCTCTCTTAGCAACTTTAAAATGTACAATACAGTATTATTAACTGTAGTCACCATCCTGTACATTACATCCCCATGACTTACTTTAAAACTGGAAGTTTGTACCTTTGGACCCACTTCACCTGTCCATGTCCACCCTTCCAACTCCTGACTCTGGCAACAAGATTTTATCATTGGCTTTCAGCAGTTTGATTATGATGTGCTCAAGTATGGTTTCTTTGTATTTTTCCTGCTTAGGGTTTGTTGAACTTTTTGAATCTGTAAGTCTATATTTTTCATCAAATTTGGCAAGCTTTTGGCCATTACTTCAAATATTTTTTCTGCCCTTTTCTCTTTTCCTCCTGGGACTCTACGCAGTATTAGATGATTAATATTGTCCCACAGGACTGAGGTTCTGTTCCTTTTTTTAAAACTTTTTTTTTTCTGTATATTCTTCAGTCTGGATTATTTCTACTGATTTACCTTCAGTGTTCACTGATGCCTTTTTCTGCTATTAGCAGTCTGCTCATAAGCAATGCATTTTTCATTTCAGATAATTGTACCTTTCAGTTTCAGAATTTCCTTTTCTTTATCATTTTTCTGCTGAGATATTTCCGTCTGTTTACTCATTGTGACTATATTTCCCTTTAAGTCCTTGAACATATTTATAGTAGCTATTGTTTGCTAATAGTGTTTGTTTGCTAATTCCAACTTCTAGGTCATTTTAGGCTCAACTTCTGTTGATTGCCTTTTTCTTAACTATGAGTCACTTTTATTTTTTTTTTAATATATCTAGTCATTTTTAAAATGTATTCTGCACATCGTGGATTCATTGCTGAGACTCTGGATTCTGTTATCTTCCTTTGAGAAGTGTTGACTTTTATTCATGGAGGTAGTTAACTTGGTTATGCTCTCACTTGGTGGATGCCAGCTGAGATCATCTTCCAAGAGTCAGTTCTTATAAATACTTCCCACCCCTTCTGATAGAATTGGTTTCACATTCCTTTGAGACCTTGCCAAAACAGTGTACATATTTCATACAATTTATTAGATGACTCTCTTTTTGAAGGCAAGGATTTCGTTTTATTGGACACAATTTGCTACCATAACAGTGGTTGAAAGAATGACTGAGGTTCATTATTATTTTCTTTCAGTCCTTAGAAATAATTTTTCTTTAAGGTGCTTAAGGCATCCAACATTTTTTAATTCTTAGGCAAGTCAAGTAGACTCCTCTCCCTGAAACATCTCTGTTAAAAAGTTTTAGGGTTTAGGGGCGCCTGGGTGGCTCAGTCGGTTAAGCATCCAACTCCTGATCTCAGCTCAGGTCTTGATCTCAGAGTTGTGAGTTCAAGCCTCGTGTTGGGCTCCATGCTGGAGCCTCCTTACAAAAAAAAAAGGTTTCAAAGTTATGGTTATTTTATGACTTTTCACAAATGTTGTTCATTTCTTATATTCTTTCAGCCTGCTTTTTATTAGACCATTCTCATGTTCAAAGAGAAAAAAAAGACATATTTTGAATAAAATACAAAATAATAAAACAAAACATAATAAAACATAAAGCATTTTGAATGTAAAGGACTTTGATTTCATGTTAGATAATATTTGACATCTTCCATAAAACTTGATTTTTGTTCAGAATTGAGATTGGAAATAGAAATCCTTTGAGTATTAAATTGTATTTACTACTGAAATTATTTTAATTGTGGCTTCAGTGTGATAAGCTTTTAAGAATTTTTTTTTTAAAGATTTTATTTATTTATTTGAGAGAGAGAGAATGAGAGATAGAGAGCACGAGAGGGAAGAGGGTCAGAGGGAGAAGCAGA